GATCAGACTAGTTTCTAGTATTGCTGCTTCTATTAATTCTTCTGAATTTATGCAAAAATGTCCAAGTTTCTGAGAAACATGGTAGTAGAATAGAAACGAGTTTTCTGATTATAAATTTTTAGGTAAATAATTCATTATCACCTGTCAAAAGCACATGATAAAAAATTGAATAATTGCCTGTAAAGAGATACAAATTTGCCAAAATATACATTAGCATAAATTAACATTTAACAAATCCAGTACATATGTACTGAACAGAAAATATTTTGCAGAATTATTATTTTTCCATGATTTTTTCTATAATGCGGCGTTACTGAAACTAGAAATGTATTTTTTTTTAAATTTTTCAGGAGAAAGAAAAGACTGSTTCAATATTAATCATTTATTATGTTATACATATCTACATATTTGGTTATTTAAAATATGTATGTGTACTCCAATAATGAAGAATGTTTACCTTGAAATATTATTCCAGGACTGTACTGCACTTATTTATAGATAACAATATACAATTTTTTCACATTCCTATATGTCTTATTAAATAAAAAATACATACCAAAAAATTGCAGAAATCTCTTTAGCCCTACCAAATAATTAACTTTTTTGCATAATTAAGGAAAAAAACAGATTTTCACAAAGCATTTTGTCCAAATTTGCATTTTCGCAGGAGAGGACAAAAACTGTCCTTTTTTTAAGAAATAATTTAAATTTTTTATATCAGTGACAATAAATGTGAAAAAATATGTAGAAATTGGACACTAATTTTACAGCTGGAGTACTTTTTTTTTAAACTTTAAAAATCTTTATCTCAATTCATAAAGACAGGGACAAACTGCATTTTGAAAGTCTGCTCCTCAATTACGTATTAATAAAAAAGCTAAATATTACACATTACACGCCGACTTTGYTTTATCATTCTATGTAATTTTTCTCTCTTTTATCATAATTAATTAATTCATTCATTCGTGAAAGTGATTTTTTTCCGACACCAGATTAATAACTCACTCTACACTTAAGTATTATAACATTTTAAGAAAAAAGATGTTATTTTTTTCTTTTGTAGTGTTGCTTGAAATGATGAGAAGTGATAAAACATATCATTATATTTGTCAACCAATTCAATAAGTCCAATTTTACTTAAAATAGGTACCAAAAATTCCTGACATTGTGTGTAAATCGGGAAAACTCACAATCCGAGTTCGGAACCCATTGTTTAATCTTGAAAAGGTTGCGTTAGAGCAACTATTTAGTGTAATTTAGTGCGTCTAATTTGCTGATCGGAATCGAATACTTAATGCATATTATTATTGTATTATTATTATTTATTGCAAAGCCACGAGCCTCTCATGACGCAATTCACGTGCCTATAATTTAGAACGAATCGGTCTTTAACCCGTTTATCGGAACGATTATCGACAAAAATTGATACAGGTCAGTTTTATTTTTATTTGAGAAGATACCAACACTTGCATTAATCGGAGGAACAAAGCTATCTCGGTGCATAGATTCAAACTGATTAAATAAATACAAAAGTATTTGGAAACTTACCCATATTTTGTAGCATTGAAGATTTTTTTAAATTTTTCAATTGTGTTGATTGAGTGTTTGTAACGCAAAAATGCATTGTTCGAGTTCATCAACCTGTAATTTCGCAGAGTGCAAATCTGAAATAAAATTTCGCTTACCCTCTTGGGTGCAATACCCGATAAAGTTTGACCATTGATTGTGGGTCGTCCAACTATTTACAATTTCGAGTATCTCCTCTCGATTTGGAGTGCATGATGGCTGTGAAATTGTTCCCATCGACACCAATTCTTATCGTTTTTGTATTTTTCCAACATCACCTCTCGGTACTAGCGAATTGCGTCACCGTTTGATACMGACGTGCGTCACGCTTTTGCAGACTCAAGTCAAGGTCCAGAAGTTTCCTACGACGCGGTCAAGGCCACAAAGCAGCCCCTGAGGGCCACCCTCAAATCACCGAAACGTGAGGTCGTTTACCTTTAGAAAGTCACAATTCTATGTGCATTCGATAACGACCTTTGGTGCGGTTCAACGAACTGCACGATTCGGGGCTGTTTCGAAACTGCAAGAAAAAATACTTGATTTCGGGATCGCGTGATCGAAACACGGTTTCACCACTTTGGAGACACACTTTAGACGATTTTCAACTGGGTTACATTTTTCTACCTCATTATATCGAAACACTGCTAATATCAAGTCTCTAGATGATGCAGGAAGTGAAACCTTTCAAAATCATTGAGTTTTTGGCGCCGAGGTGTAAACAGGATTCTAAACTGCTCTTCCTTGTTTACCAATTTTTGCCACTTTTTCTACCTATCGCTTATTAAATATTGATCATGATAAACACAATAAATCGTTATTCAAATTTTTTTACAATGCAGCGGTTATTTTAAAACAGGAAGTGGAATTTATTGCGTTAGAAGAAACAGAAATAAAAAATATGTATTGACTTAAATTTCATGGTAATTTTCCAATACATTCGAAACAGTTTCTTCATTCCCAGTTTTTACTCTTTGTTTCCTAAGAATGCTTGGTATTCCTTTCATTTTGAAGGATAAGCAACTCTTAAATTTATAAAAAAAAATGTTTTTTTTAATTCTCTATTTGATGCAATAAAATAGTATATTATATTACAAGGTAGAGACGAGATTTTTTATAGCCGAGTTATTTATAATCATAAATGCGAGGCTATAAAAATCTTCTCTACAGTGCTTTATATAACATTTTTTTCACTACTAGCACATTTTTACCCAGAAAGTGAAAAATATTACCCTACTTCTCAGAACTATTATTTTTGTTAATTCACTATTACCTACAGTAATTAATTACTTACCTAAGTTATTAACTTAAGTTGGAAGTATTAGTTTCTTCTTATCATAAATAATGTTATGTCATTTTTGTAGTTTTGCAACTATATTCCTATTAAAAGAATTTTCTAACCATTATATGAAATATTTGTTAAAGTAATAAAGAAACTGCAAAGAAAAGGGAAAAAGTGTTAACATTTTCCTCACTACCAATAGTATTTTGACAATAAATAAACCCATTCGTTGTTTTGAATAGACAGAGGTATTAGAGTTGGGGTTATTCTGATGTTTTTAATTAGGAAATGTAAGTCTTTTTTATTTGATTTTGCATTAATTTCATCTCGAAATACTTCCGTTAGTAGTTGTGGTGGTATAACGGTATCTTTTACAGCTAGTAGTGAAAAAAAATGTTATCATTTTCCTTAAAATAAGAGGGTAAGCAAAATCTTTTTTTCCAAGAGTAAAAGAAATAAAATTGTAAACTAATGGACTACAAGTATAGAGATACGAGTACTCTTGAACAGGTATATGGAGCAGGGCCGTAACCAGAATTTTATTTCGGGGGGTTTCTTGTTGGTCCATGAAAATGAAATGAAAGAAGGCGGATTAAAAAGCAAAATTCTCGAAGTACAAGTTTTTATTTTAAATTGAAATAAGAGATCCTAATTAAACATAAAAAAAATACAAATTAACTCACAAAAGTAACAAAAAATGAAATAAATTTTTAATACTTTTTATTGTTAYAAATTTAAACAGGAGATAGAATATTCATTTTTAAAACAAGAATTTTCTATGAACATATATCGCAAAAGGTCTTTTAATAGGTTTTTTTTTCAATATTTCCGAAATCATTTTTGAAAAAAAATTCAAAATTTGGTACAGATGATAACTTTTATACACCTAAACAACTACAAAAATAAAATGTTGAAATTTTTAATTAGGGGCTTACTAAAATAGATGGGATTAGGATACAAATTTACTCTAACTATTTTGCCTGTAGTTTCTTGCCACATTCAGCAACAAAATTTCATATTTTTTCATAAAAAAAGGTCTTTTGTGTTTTTCCAATACAATTTACGGATTTTTAGTAAAAATCGATTTAAAAATTTATGTTACAGACCATAAATAGCATAACAATTAAAAATTAAATTTGTTTTACTGTTCAGGACGCACCTGATTAAAAATTTTGTTATTTGGCATTTGTTTAGGCGTACATATAAAGGTACCAAATTTTGTAATTTTATCAGTTCTGAAATATTAGCAAAAACGCTTTAAAAAACGTACCTTTTTTAGGGGGTGCAGCTCCCTTTCATAGCATTTTTGAAACACTTTTGTCTTAAAATTAAATATTCTATCAACTATTTAAATTTGTACCTAACAATAAAAATGAAACACTGTATAATTAACACATGAAAAATTAATTCACAAAAATTTAAAATTAACTCTCTAAAATAACAAAAAAGCTAATTTTTTTACACTTATAACACTATATAACAAAGTGCTCAGCATTTCGGGGGGAGTTTGAACCCCCAAATCCCCCCCTTGGGTACGGCCCTGATATGGAGGATTTTTTATTTCACGAAAATTATCTGTTTTTTTAAGTAAAAAATCTGTATTCCGCATTATTTGAGCCTTTTATTACCAAACTTAACCATTTTGTYTTATAAAACCTGCATAAAAATATTTGGTACTTAAAATTCGATTTTTGCAAAAAAGCAACAAAACATTAAATCAGATTAAAAATGTGGTATTGTAAGTGAATCGCATTAAATAATGTAAAAGTGCGCTCCATGAGTTGGCACCGGCGGCACCAAAATCATCAACAACTCAAGATTTACGTAACAGCAATCCTGGGACCCATCAAATCCCATGTTGCGAATGTTTATCTCGTAGAAACGGTCATGGCCACTTGTGCAAAAACTTGCACTTTTAATCCGACGCCAAAAGAAGAGGTCAAGGAAAAAATACTATGTTTTCGTGCGCAACCTCCACCTCTGGCAGTTGGTACCACACTGGAACCATGAATGAATTGCATCTCGGCTGCATCCAATGGAGAAGGGGCAAAGTCGATTGTCATTGGCCGCCAATCATTGCTCCTCCTCGACAAGTACTGCGTATCTCCCCACTCGATCGTCTTAAGTCGCTCGTAAGCCTAAGTATATAAGCAATGCTTAGTGTTGTCAAACATCATAGATACCTGTGCACCACGCGAATATTTCACGGAGAGCAAAGTGGTGCATCATGTTCGTGTACGGTGGTTTAGTGTTGTGGAATTTTTTGGCCGAGGAGTTGTCGACGAAGATCCTCGGGGTGTTTCTACTGGTACTGTTTTTGGTACGCACCGTCCAGATGCTGAAGGAGGCCAGCGCGCTGCCGCCCGGCCCTTGGGGGCTGCCCATCCTGGGATCGCTGCCCTTCCTCAARGGGGATCTGCATCTCCACTTCAGGGATTTGACGCACAAATACGGGTCGCTCATCTCGACCCGACTGGGATCGCAGCTCATCGTCGTCCTCAGCGACTACAAGATGATAAGGGATGCGTTCCGTAAAGAGGAATTCACCGGAAGGCCCATCACCGAATTTACAACTCTGTTAGATGGTTACGGTAAGTCTACAGTCGCAGCAAGTGACACACTTTGGTGGCCTTGACGCGACTTCTTTCACTAAAACTGATCGCTTTTTCAGGTGTTATTAACACTGCCGGGAAATTATGGAAGGACCAAAGAAGGTTCCTCCACGACGGGTTGAGACACTTTGGCATGTCGTACATCGGGAGTAGGAAAACACAGATGGAGAACCGCATTATGCGAGAAGTTGAAGAGTTCCTCTCGGTACTAACAGCGCGAAAAGATAATCCGATTGATTTGAACCCTGTCCTGGCCGTTTCTTTATCAAATGTGATTTGTGATATTTTAATGTCGGTCAGATTCTCRCACAACGAYGAGAGATTCAAACGTTTCATGTTCCTCATCGATGAAGGCTTCAAACTTTTCAGTTCCTTGGAAGCTTCATTCTTCATCCCGATACTCAAATACTTGCCAGGACAACGGCAAACGCGCGAAAAAATTGCAAAGGTAAAAAAAATTGATTTTCACACTTTTCCTGAAACTAATCGAATTGTTTAGAATCGTGCCGAAATGGCCCAATTTCTGCAAGAAACGATCGAAGAGCACCGCAAAAGCTTCGACCCGTCTCACCTTCGCGACCTCCTCGACACCTATTTGTACGAAATTCAGAAAGCTAACGAGGAAGGCACCGGTGATTACTTGTTCGAAGGCAAAGATCACGGTAAGTCACTCACTAATGACTTTGCAAGTTCGTTGCTAATTGTCGGTTTAGATCGTCAGATGCAGCAAATAATGGGCGATTTGTTCTCTGCCGGCATGGAAACGATCAAAAGTTCCCTCCAATGGGCGGTTCTGTTCATGCTTCATCACCCCGAAGTGATGAAAGCAGTGCAAGAAGAACTGGACCAAGTGGTGGGCCGTCGCCGCCTCCCCAAGCTCGAAGACTTACCTTATTTGCCAGTGACGGAATCGACGATGTTGGAAGTGCTGAGAATATCGAGTATAGTCCCGATGGGCACGACGCACGCACCCACAAGGTAAGCATTCGCACCCATAAAAAAGTGAAAGTGTCCCGAGTCGTCGAAAATTCAGCAGTTGGGTCGTTGAACTTATAAATACACACGGGGCAGACAATTTCCCAATCAATTTCATAACCACACGCAGGACGAGTAGCAAACGCAATTTACGTAACGATTTTTTCGTTTCAGGGATTTGAAGTTGAACGGTTTTCATCTGCCGAGACATGCCCAAATCGTGCCGTTGCTGCACTCGGTCCATATGGACCCCAATCTGTGGGACGAGCCGGAGAAGTTCAATCCGAGTCGGTTCATCAACGCTGAAGGCAAAGTCGTCAAGCCCGAGTACTTTTTGCCTTTTGGAGTCGGGAGGAGGATGTGTTTGGGGGAGATTTTGGCGCGGATGGAGATTTTCTCCTTCTTCTCCTCCCTTTTGCACTCGTTCGATATTTGCGTACCAGCAGGTGAGACGCTGCCGAGTTTGAAGGGCGTCGCGGGAGTCACGATCAGTCCCAACGCTTTTCGAGTCTGTCTCAAGCCCAGACCCATGGAATGGGACTCGATGGGCACGATCAGGCCGGCGGGAAGCCACTAGTGGGTTAGGAGCACGGTGACCGAAAGCGTTTCCTATAATTTATATCGAGGCACAGTACTTAGACATTCCTCAATTAGATAAGAGATCTCCGACTTGTTCGGCTGTGCATTGCAAGTGTTCATTCATTGTTAGTATTAACTATTTTTTTATTTTATTAACTTGTGTGCTAGTCACGTCATCAAATCCAGTTGCCTTTTTTATACCATTATTTCACGTTACCTGCTGAAAATTGGCAACTTTCACACCATTTTATCATTTTAGGCTAAGCGACTTGTAAATATCACCCTATTTTATTTTTTGATCTTGCTAACTGTACAAGATGATAACTTTAAGATTACTTGTTAGCGATGAATTTAATATAATTTTTTTAATTTTAATAGAAAACTGACTTTATTTTTTCCCCTACTACACCAATTACAAACTTGTAAAAATTAATTCGTGAGGTTTTGGAGTCAAAGTGATACCACAATCACCGGTCAAATCAACTTTTCCCACACACTTGATGTCGAAATTTTTTATCAACGTAGCACCGAAGAGGTAGAGGAACATTCGAGCCAATTCTTCACCGACACACATTCTTTTACCTAAAAAAAAAACTCAACAAAATTATTACAAACTCGCAACGTTTCGTACCCGCTTGAAAAGGAATAAAAGATTCAGGCCTGAAAAATTTCCCTTCCTCATTGAGGAATCTTTCAGGCTTGAAAGTCTCAGGTTCATCCCAAATTTTTTCATCCATATGGATTGCCCATTGTAGAGGGACTATCATAGTGCCTGGAGGAATCCTATAATGGTCAATTTCGAGTTCTTCTAAACTTCCGTGTGGAATACCGACAGGTACCACCGGTCTAATTCTCTGAACCTCAGCAATGGTGGCTTCAAAATATGGCACCAAAGAGATATCTTCAAGTGAAATATCGTTCAAAAGTTGCCGCACTTTTTTTTGAACTTCTTGGTGGACGGCCATATACAACACGTACCATCTCAAAGTGGTCAAAGTCGTATCCAAACTCGCCCCAAAAATATCAGCCAACAAGTAATGAAACTGCTGATCGCTATAAAACCTCTCACTGTCTTCATTTTTCCGTTTCTCTTTCTCAGCAAGAAACGCTTGGATAAAATTGCTGATATTCCCATCACCCAAACTCTTTTGTTCATCGATTATTTCCCTATAAATTTTGTGTGTTTTTCGTAATCCGTCGATTAAAAAATGTACTGTTTGTTTTGATTTTGGTAAAAACCTAAAGAGAAAGTTTGGTAAACTTGTCTTATGTGTGAACTAGTTAACACCTTAAGAACGGCAAAAAATTCAAAGGACCGGCGACACCGATGTGCTTCGTCCCCTCTTCCTGAAGATGTTGCAGCCACTTCCATGTGTCGTCGTCACGCGACCAAGCCTTGCCGAACACCATTTGGTTGATGGCCGAGCCGAGGCTATGGCGTAGAGAGTCTAGAGGGTCTAAAGTGACGGTTTCGCCGAGGCTTTTGATATGCTAGAAGGACTATTAAACGTTTGGTTGTGATTTAAACAAAGTTTTTATACTTCGACAAGATCTGAAACGTGGTGCATGATCAGAGCTTCCATGCTGGCGCGGTTGGGACTCACTTTGGAAGCACCAAGAGTTCGTAAAGTGGTATGGACGAATTTGCGTTGGTCTTTCCACAGGTCGCCTTGGGCGCAAATCAGTCCTGAAATGAGGACACAAAAAATCGTACCCCTATAAATAATTATTTAAAACTTAAAAAATACCATTAGAAAGAYAAAAAATATTCAATAGCACACATTATCCACTCAAACACCAAACAAACGCGACACCAAGAGGTCCAGAAAAAAATTGAAACAAAACATTTTTTTTTTATAAGCTCCCGTGAATATCTGTTTTACGGACTCATTTGAGTCCCCAAAATGAGGCTTTTCGGGACTCAATAAAATACTGTATACCCAAAATACAGTTTTTCCGGACAAAAAAAGTCAATTTGGTTACTATGGAGGCGAATTTTTTTTTATTAATAAGAGGTGTGAATTCGTTTTTTGAAAGCTTTAACAAAAAAATGTTGAATGAGACACGTACCTTAAACGTTTTTGTGGACTCGGCTTCGCCTCGTCCGGAAACAACAACACCAACAACTTTATCAAAAATAACTATTTTGTTTCAAAGTTGAAAAATTAATTTTTCACTGGGTATATTATTTTTTCTTAAATGAAAGAATTTTTTGTTTAGTTCATTGATACAGTAGTTCCAATTGTGGTTTTTGGAACTTCCTTACTTTGTTTCTCTATGTTTTTAAAATAGGCAATTACCTGAGTAGCTTTTACTCCTAAATTACAAAAAATACATTACTGCTGTGTTTCATTTTAACTTTTATAAATTCCTGTGAGGTTCATACGCSCACAAAAGTTGTAATAATAATGTAACATTAATATGTAATAAATAATAATGTAGGTACAACATAACAGAAAAAAATAATTTACCTGCTGCGGTTATTGATTCCATTCAAGGCAGTAACTTTTGTCGTCTTAAAAACGTACATTTTTTTCATAAATAATAAATGTTTTACCACAAATTGTGCAATTCTGTTAATTATTATTACTAATATAATGTCATAACCAGTTATCATGTCATTATTCGGTTTCGGTAAAAAAATATGTCGGTTTGTAGATTGTACTCGTTATAAATACTAAAATTCAAATAATTTAGTTTGAAAAAATAAAGAATAATGGATTCAGTTTAAGGCAAATGTGATTATTAAGTGATACTTCTTTCATCTCATGTGCAACTGTGCACTTTTTGGCTACTGAAACAATAGTAATTATTTTTTTAATGTTTATCGTTAAATATCTTTTTAGTTATTGAGTGAGTATACCTAAAAGTAAATAATTTTAGAAAAACAATTTAATAATCTTTTAAATGCAAAAACAGTAAATAGGTGTTCCATTTCATTTTTTTAAGTAATTGAATTTTTAACAAACGTCTTCATTTTTTTGTCTTTGCAAATGCAACACACTAAAAAAATGTTACAACCTTATAGCATTTACCTTCTTCATTGCGGTAGTAAAAAAATATTTCTAGATGTCTTAGTTTTTGTGTAATAAATTTTCAAAAAAACCGTCTTATTTTTAAAACTAAGCAAAATCAACCAATAAAACATTGTCATAAAAATCTACGTTAAAAACGCTAAGAAACATATGGTGTTCCATTTAAAAAAACACAAGTTTGTATTGTAACTTATTTTTGAGACACGCTATACAGGGTGCACCAGAACTCGCGCCCCAGAGAAAATTTTCAAGTAAGGTAAGATACCAGGAACATGAAAAAAATGTTTAAAAAATTCTATAATTTTTTTTTAAATATTACCATTTAAAGGTCACTAATGGACTTTTTCAACTCGCTGGGACACCTGTATGTATTACACTGGAGGAAAGTGTCTTTTCCTCCCTCAATTTCAGGCAGTAACTTCCACCYGTGGAAGGAAAAAGTACACTTTCCTTCCTTATAATATAAATAACTATTATTGCGCAGTGGCTTTGGCGGCTTGAATGATGACAATTTTGGAAAAATAAGAAACAAAACTGAAAGTTTTCCATTTAATTACACAGAAGGAGAACACAAGTGAAATTTTAACATCTACGTAAGAATTTGGGTTAAGAAAGRYCTGAAGAGAAGTAATCAATGCGGAAAACAACACTCAAAAAACTGAAACAAGTGTTACAATTAAACATTATGATAACAAAATACAAAATTGTTGTCTTGTCGAGTTTATTCCAGTTATTTTGGATGTTGATTCCGAACAAAACAGCACCCCTTTTGGCTGTTTCCGCAGCTTAAAGCTTGAGATTCTTCGGTGTCTATCAATCGAATCATCGAGTTTCTGGAAGACATTYTTGTAATTCCATTATAACGTTATTCCGAACGATAGCGAGAGTGGTCAGTTAGTCATCGTCGGACGTGAACGGCATTCCCGTCGTAGTGGTTAGTGAACTCCGGAGCTGAAGCACTCCTGAACATCGTCCTTGCGCAATGTCCTTCAGCATTTTCAGTAGATGAGCCATCAGGATGCTGGACTCGATGATGATTCATCCAACTTTAGWTCGAATTACGAAGAAGAAAGTGTCGGTCGATAGCCATGGTAGAATGAATTGCTGATGGAAAGCCGGCTGTGTTAACGACCGCCCTTGTGCACTTATGAGTACTTATGTACGYAAGGGGCCTTGATGAGAGACAACGGCCCCGGAAATTTACATTTTTCCTTCCACGAATCTTAAGAYTCATCGGATTTTATTTATGTAATTTCGTGGCATCGCAACCTCGCCCATTTGTCATCGTTTTAACACAGGAATTTTTTTTTTAATTTAACAACATAACATTCTACAGTGTGTTTCAAATGATTTTCATCTAGTCGCCTACAGAATTTCTTTACAGGTAATTTTTTCTGTGCCGCTCTACTCTTTTTGAATCAGATAGTTCTGTCAACAGTGACGGCTGTCATTTGAAATAAATTAACATTTGAAATYAATTAGATTCAATRTTTTTTAAAGCGGCATTCTTTATTTTGCATAAGCGGCTAGATGAAAATCATTTTAAAACACGCTGTATAAATATGAGCAATAAATCAGAAAGCAAGAAAGAGACCGTCACTGAAACTATTTTAGGCAAAAAGAACTATTTGTTAAGTTATTGGAACATTGAACTGTCGTATCTTTTATGTCAATTTTTCTGCACTAATAGATTTAGACACCAGTAATTCGAAATAATGATCATGACACTACTGTATTCAAAGTTCTAGATTCTAAAWTKTMACAAAATATAAGTATAAAAAGACTATAAATTGTTTTTCCGGGTTTGATTTAWTTTGACAAAAATGATTAAACGTTGGCAAAAAGAGAAACACRAAAATGTAAAATTATAATTTTTTCGGTAAGTTTAGTTTTTGATCCGTAATGGAGGCGTATCCACTAGGCGGAGCGACATACAAAGTCGAGCGTTGATGAGAAAATCCAAGTAGGGCATTGCTCCGAAGCTTTCCTCCTCTAGATCCGCCTTGAAAGCTTTCGACAAAGCGTCGGCGTGCCTGAGACCGATTATGTCCGTCAAGAGAAACGCTGAAAGTTTGCGCAAGCTTTAACCGCACACTTCCTGCGCGTTGCACCAATCTCTTTTGTTCCCTTGGGCCAAACACAGCCAAATGCGTGTCGTAATTAGACAGCATGACATAAAAAGTGAAACATCTCGCATTTTTTTGGTAACAAATGAAATATCTCGATTCCAAATTTATTTAGTATGAAAATTAAAAAAACTACTAAGAACAATTTTTTGTGAAAATTGCCTAAACAAACAGCTATCTCTCTGTTAACGTTAATTAAAAGAACATTTAACACCAAAAACAGACGCAAATACATAAAAACCTATGTATTCCTATGTATTTCTAACTAAAGAAAAACCGTTCTTCGTCTTTTGATTTCGGTTATGTAGTTACCGATTTTTTGCTTTCTCCTAGCAGCTTTATTGTTATAATAATAATAATAAAAAAAAATTGCACAATATTGCCTTATTGTTTGATGTTTTTTTACAGGGTGCTAACTTAAATGTGCAATTTTTAAACAATCATAACTTTGCTATTTGTTACTGCAATACTGCAGAAAGCTTTTGCAAATTTAAAAATATAGGTAGGTACGCCATTCCGGAGAAAATTTAATTTAATTCAAATTTATTTCCAATACAAATCAACAACATTCTCAAAAACAATAAAAGCAACGACTATGACGACTTTTATATTAGTATAACTTTCATTATTATCTGGTAAATTTAAATTTATTTTCTTACATTTTAATAAAAATTGAGTTAAAATTGGCGCTGTGAAAATTAATTAGCATTGTTTTACAACCAACTATTATTTACAAATTTTTTACCTAAAAATTGCACTATTTATTTAAAATTACTAGAGAAAGATGTGATCAAATCACAAAAGCTAAAAATTCACTACAGTGCCTGAAGTACTCTCTTTATTTTATTTTAAATACTTAAATTAAACATTGTAGAAACATTGTCTATATTACATCCAAGATAAGCAAAATTATTTTTTAACGCTCGAATGCCAAAAACGAACACTTGGGCAGTATAAAATAACTATTTTCCATTTCTTTGCAGAAATTTGTGCTTTTTAAAAATGCTGAAATGGCAAATTTTTTATCAAGGTAATTTTATCAAGGTAATTTACTGAGATTGTTAAGCATTCTCATTCTTTTGCCTCTAAAAATCAAAATGCAATAAGTTCTAACAGCTAAAGTTTTGAGAAAAAAGTACTATGTATTTTTCATCAAAAATGTATGTATACATATTTATGGTAACAGGAAGTTCTAAAATTGAATTGTTTGAAAACCAACATGGTTATCTTTGCTGAATCACTTTGTATTTAATCTTAATTAAATTTAGTTAAAATCGTAGACAAAAAAATCTAAAATATCTATTAAAAAAAAATATTTTATAAACAAACCATTATTGATAAGCTACCCTATACCGAGGGGCCGTTAACTTAAAAAAAATGTGTACAACTAATTCCAATTCCAAAAAAATTCCAAAAATTCCACCAAAATCCATCGTAATTCCATTTTTTTCAGATTAATTTCTATAATCCTAAATTAATTCCTGTAATTCAAAATTAATTCCTGTAGTTCCAACTTAATTCCTGTAATTCCATTAATTTCCGTAATTACAAAATAATTCCTATAATTCACATATAATTCTAGTAATTTACAAGCAATTCCAGTAATTCCAAACAATGCAAAGATTTCAATAATTCCAAATACTAATTCTCCACTGAACGGCCCCTAGCCCTACACCTATTTAATTCTACTTATTTAAATTTTGAATATGGCTAATACAGGATGATTCAGTTAATATGTCCCAGTTTAAGAACAATATTTTCTTTATTGAATCAGTCTGTAGATAGTGTTGATACTGAATTTTAATTATTGAACCATGGCGAATTGGAGTGATTGTTATTACTATAAACAGGGACACAAGGTCAATAGTCTTATTCTCACCCGAAGACCACCTTGTGGTCGACACGTGTCGTGTGTGTCAAAAAAACTGTAGCTTTGGGAATAGAAAGACAAGATTTGATTCATTCAACACCACGAAGAAAAAAATAAGTTTGAAAATGTGGCTTCTTTTTTTAAATCTCCTAGTCGCTCCATCATGTATACAAAATTTTGTTTTTCTGGAGGCTACACTATATACCACGTAAACTAAGTTTTAATAATTAAACGTGAATTGTAAAAAAATATAAATTAGAATAAAATTCTGATTGTGATTTTGTACGTATTTTTGACCAATTGTAAAAAAATTGGTGAAACGGTTTTATGGAGCAAATAAATTGAAATTTCTTTGTTTTTCCTGGGAGGGTTAGATATCAACTTAGTGTATAAATTTCCAAAAATTTTTTTTCGTGTTCACGTGGTATTATTAGGGCCACCATCCTTTGGAAGGACGAGATGTGATGCGTGCATGTGTACGGATAATAGGTATGACGTAAACCGCGATGGCACACTAACCCACTGTCGAAAAAGCGGACTCCCGAAATCGCGGGTTATTGAACCGCACGCGCATCACCACGACGGCCTGAAGAGAAACGAAAGTTTCACCGCAACAATTCTTGGGATTAATGACATTTGATGTTCGTATACTACCTACCGAAACCCTTCATTATGCCATGGGTCAGGTGCAAGGGCGCGCGACCCGAGGATGCGTCTTTGTTGAAGGTTTTCTTGACGAGTTTGGCGTCGGAGATCACCACGGTGTAGATGCTGCCGAGATAGAGGCCGTAGATGGGACCGTACTTTTTAGAGAGAGAAGTTAGACTCAGGTAAGGAAACTGAGGGTTCAACCAGGCCAAATAACCGATCACAGGTAGGTTCCAAGGACCTGGAGGCAAGTTACGAGATGGTCGGAGCCAGGTGTACGCGATGATGAACAGGAGAAACGATAAGAGCACTGACCACAACGGCGCCATCTGCAACTAAACGAAAGGGGCGAAGTCAGGCAAGATTCGACTTGTTTACGTTCTGAAAAAAATCTTAGCAATATTTACTGTAAAATAGTAAAAATGCTATGATAATTAATAGTTTCATTTCAAATCAATATAATAAATTATAAAATTGAAACAGTTCTCCTTATCTTCTCCTTTTATTAGAAGTTGTTGCAATATTTTGTTGATTTTGGAAAATTTGCTACTTTCTGGTACCCCCTGAAAGCTAATTCTTTTTTCTACATAATAGTAGCTTTGTTCTATTAACTTCAATTGTGACAAAAAATAATTAATTACACTAGTTCACACGATTTTTATACCTTAGCTAAAAGTTATAATTTTTTAGAAATTGAGACACTGAGTTCAAAAAAAATTTTTTTTCTAAAAGTCCACCACGTTACCTTTAAGAAATATGTAAGTAGAAACTGATATCAAATCCTAAAAACAAACAAATTCTAAAATGTTGTGTGAAAGTAAAAATTATAGGGGGATCGCGGCTTTGCCGCTCGTCCCCGTCTAGAACTCACAGATTTTAGCGAAATTTATATACCTACAGTATGTCCCCGCAAGTTAAATAACAAAAATGTTTGCGAAAAAACATAATTTTGATAAATAGCAACTCAAAAAAACAGCTTTAAAATAAAAAACAAAGTCATTTTTAACAAGAACTTTCATTATCAAAGTGACAAATAGTTGTCAAATAAATAAAACCGCCAATGTGACAAATCCAAAATCAAGAGAAAAATAAACTTTTCTTTTTACGGAATCAGAATAAGATAAAAAACAAAGTAATTTTTAACAAGAACTTTCATTATTTAATTAATAAATTAATTATCAAAGTTTCAAATAGTTGTCAAATAAATAAAACCGCCAATGTGAAAAGTTCAAAATCAAGAGAAAAATTAACTTTTCTTTTCACAGAATCAGAATAATGAAATTTTAATTACAGATTTGCTCGTTTCAGCTGAAGCAAAAAATATTTCTCCTTTGCAGTTTTGGCGTACAATGAAAGAAAAAAAAATCCTCTTGTGAACTCAATCCGAGGACTTACTGTATATAATTTTTTTTATATAAAATACGGACTAGAATTATTACCAAGCCACTGTTGCAAATACATTGTATGAATTTTGTGTACGAGTACCTATATTACATAAAATAAAACAATAATTTTTTTATTTATTATTTTAAACTTAAACCTAAAACTAAATATATATATATATATTATAAAAATCAGATTATAATTTAAATTTCTGCGATAAATCAGCATTTTTTTCATACAATCGGGGATTTTGACAAATTGGTATAAAAAGATTTAGAGGTAAATAAATATGTATTATGTGATTTTTCAAAGCCGTGAGCCCCCTTCTAGACCTCACACTATCTGACTCGCAAATGTTTTGTCAAAATTATCTGGGGCTTCGCCTCCGAGAAGAACTTATTAGTAACACGTGTAGAATTGACTTTTGCAACTTTTTTTTTTCATTTTTTGATAACTTACAATAATTTTTTTACAAAGCAGGTTTTCAGAATTAAAAATTAAAGACGTTTTATTAAGTTACAGTTTACAGTTTTTTTATTTAAATTTCCTTTGGGTATACCCAAATACTTTAAAATTGTTCTAAGTTTGATATGATTTTATGTAGTTGTCTGTAATTAGTTTATTTTTTTCAGATTTATAATTATGCCATTGTATTAGGTATACCACTGGTCAAAGTGGCTTATCATTTGACATTTTGGCAACATTAGAGACAGAATATATACAGTATGTCCTTGGATTATGTTTACAAGTGAAAAAAAATTTTCTTTGATTTTACGCCAAAACTGCAAAGGAAAAATATTTTTGCTTTGCCTGAARCAAGCAAATCTGTAATAAAAACTTTATTATTCTAACTGAATAGAAAGAAAAGTTCATTTTTCTCTTGATTGTTAAATCCCATCACATTGTCGATTTTATTTTTTTGACAATGATGTCACTTTGAAAAATGAGTTTAGCAAGTTAAATAACAAAAATGTTTGTTAAAAACATAATTTTAATAAAAAGAAACAACTTTAAGATAAAAAACAAAGTCATTTTTAACAAAAACTACCATTATTTAATTGATAAATTAAGTGTCAAAGGAACATATAATTGTCAAATAAATAAAACCGCCAATGTGATAGGACTTATAAAGCAGAGAAAAATTATTCCAATAAGTCCAAAATCAAGAGAAAAAAACAACTTTTCTTTTCACTGAATCAAAATAATAAAGTTTTAATGACAGATTTGCTCGTTTTATGTAAAGCAATTTTTTTTTTCATTTGCAGTTTTGGCGTAAAATCAAAGATAAATAAATTTTTCCTCTTGTAAWCTCAATCCGGAAACATACTGTATTATGTGAAGCTTGTCAAAACTGACAATCTGTCATTAAAACTTTATTATTTTGATTCAGTGAAAAGAAAAGTTGTTTTTTTCTCTTGATTTTGGACTTATTGGAATAATTTTTCTCTGCTTTGTAAGTCCTATCACATTGGCGGTTTTATTTATTTGACAATTATATGTATGTATGTATATGTAAACACATAAAAGCTTCTGTAGTCCTCTCTCCAATAATTTCTTATTCAACTGGTCTACGATTTTAATTAAATTATAGGTATGATTKTAAGAAAAAAATTTTTGGCAACACTTCAAGAGTGATGATGATGATGATCATGAGCATGACACTTTTTTCAAGTCCGTCCAACCAACTCAAAAAAAGTTTTTCACGTTGAAATTGTTTTCTATTTTTGATTAACGTAACACCGAATTATCCAAATTTTAAATTAAAAATTAAATAGAATTAAAAAAAATTAGTCAGCTTACTTCAACATCAGAAATATTTACTTGTGGTAACTTTTAGTTTTTATTTTAGCTGAAAAGAGATTCTTCTGTCGATTATTTATTGAACCCACTATTACATGATTTTTAACGGTGAGTTGTAATGGTATGTCATTATCACCGAGTGAATAACCCCTGGCACAGATCTTTTTCTCCATTTTTGCCTGATTAATGATCATTTTTCTGGAAGAATTGTTAATCTCTTGTGCATATAGCCGGTACTATTCATAAACAACTATGTATGGAAGCAGACATTACGGAAGTTCAAGTCCTCGACGAGGAGATAACCGATAATGTTATTCACCCCTGGTGTACCTAAAACCAATATTTTGGGAAAATACGAGTACAAGTGTTCTACCCTTGACCTTACTATACGAAGAACTACAAACCCAAACAGTAAATATTGTTTACCAAAAATACAACTTGCCTCTTCAATCAAGCGAAGCCAAGTCTAGAAGGTTTGATTGGACGCTTTATCGTATTTCCAAAAATATTATTGTTGTTTGATAAATTTAATTAATAACAGTAATTTGAAGTTTCCAATTAATCAAGTTTGGCATATCCGTGTGTTATTGTCTTGTTCCAATATGATATTTCGAAATTTATTGTTGTTTCTAGTCTGGGATTTTTAATTGCTTTCAACATGTATGTCCCGCAAACTTAAATTTCTTGTTATTTTACATTTTTCTTCTAAAAGTATGTACCAATAAACGAAAAATCACATAATACATATTTACCACTAAATCTTTTTATACTAATTTGCAAAATACTGGTTTGTGGCAGAAATTTAATTATAATCTGTTTACAATAAGTAAATCTCCTAGGAGTTCAATAAGAATAAAAAAAAATTAACTTTGATTTTAAAGGAAATTTTTTTTTGCTTTCTTGACTGATTTTCAAGCCGGAACTCAACCAGAATCAAAGTATTTCAACAAAGTAATGGCTTGAATAAGGATTTTCTTCCAAATAAAGCAATTTGAGTTCAATCCAATTTTGCTCGATTTTAATACAGAATTTATTCAAAATTAATGTATTTTTATAAAAATAATTGCTTCAATCTCAACTTTAGGCTAAAATGAAGCAATTTGTGCTATTTTCAATCGATTTGGCTTAATTTTAAGTCAGAAATCAACCTGAATCAAAGTATTTCAACAAAATAGTGGCTTGAATAGAAGTTTTCTTCCAAAATAAACGAATTTAATCTATTTTCAATTTAATTTTGCTCGATTTTTATAAAATAATTTACCTTTAATCAAATTATTACTTTCAGGTTTATTGACCTTTAATTAAACAAAAATAAAGTAAGAAAATAAAAATAAAAGTTCTTCTCGGGGCGAAGCCACCGATAATCAGATAGTGTGAGGTCTATAAATGTCGACAAAATCTGATAGTGTGAATTCTTCTCGGGGGCGTAGCCCTCGATAATTTTGACAAAACATTTGCGAGTCAGATAGTGTGAGGTCTAGAAGGGGGCTCGCGGGTTTGAAAAATTACATAATACATATTTACCTCTAAATCTTTTTATATCAATTTGCCAAAATCCCCGATTCTATGAAAAAATGCTTAATTATTGCAGAAATTTTGATTATAATATAAGTAAATCTAGCAGAAGGAGTTTAATAAGAATTAAATTTTCAATTAAACATTTAGAACCATTTTTTGAGTGTTAAGTTTAAGTCTGAATTAAATTTACTTGTAATTCGCTTTCTGAAAATTGTCCCTTAAAATAATAAATAAAAAAAATTGATTCTTTTTTTTTAATGTAATATACTCGTACACAAAATTCATATAATGTGTTTGCAACAGCGGTTTGGTAATAATTCTATTCATTATTTTATAGACGATCATATTTTCAGATGTGTGATTAATTAGGGTAATTTTTGGAAAAAACCAAACTCATTTTCAATCTCATGTACCCGTTATTGTGCTTCTAAACTTTTCTTTTCTACAAAAAACACAAAATTACAAAAAATAAATAAAACCAGGCTTGCAGTGGGGTAATCTGCAAGAAATGGGATGCACGAAAGAAAAGAAAAAAAAATCAATTTTTGAAAATAGATTTAAGTGTAAATATTAATAAATCAAACTCTTCTTTAATAATTATTCTATAAATAAATGACTATTTTTAGAGTCCTAC